TCATATCATGGTTTAGTAGAGGCCGATTTTTGATTAGGTGAGCTGGGGTGCTCCATTAATGACCCCCTCTCATATCTAAGGTTCCAAGCAAGACACCCTTGGTTACGACGAACAGTGGCCTTGGCACTAGTCACGAGTTTCCTAATTTTCTCAAAATATTAGGTGGCGACTCTGAGATTTGGAGATGTAGTCCATTTCTGGCAAAATTTTTTGTAATAAAATGAATTTCCATAAAAGTTGCCAAATCTGGACTCTCATTTACGTTTCACATTGCGCTCGTGAGACTAAATCGAAGATACCGCGGGTTCGAATTGTTAACGTACACGAGTACCCCCCGGGCATGTTAAAGCCAAATCAGCACATTCCGTCCAATTGTAGACAAAATGTGATGGCATATGTCAAATTGATCAAAATTTTGAAAGTTTAGGTGTAAAATTGATATTAATTGAAGTACGGGGGTCAAATTGAAAAATGCGAGAAAGTTTGGGGGCAAATTGATATTTTCTCTAAAAAAATATCCACTGGACCTCATGCCTTATACACCCCTTAGATTGGATTTATCATCAATTTACTCTATATTCAAATACAAATTAAAATCTTCTTTATTTATTTTTATTTTCTTGATCAATATAATAATAATTATTATTAAATTATAAAAATAAAAAAGTTTTTATTTTAAATGGAAGTGAGGAGACAAGAAGTGAGTTGGAAACTTGACTTAGAAATAAGTGTCACATATTTTTTTAAAATTTTAGATTTTTTAGAAAAGTAGAAATGGAGACTTGGAAACTTAAACACATCTATTACATTTGCTTATATAGACAGTATAGATGGATAGATATGTTGTAGTTAGTACGGTTATACACATATACATGAAAGAACATTTGGTATATGGAAGGAGAAAAATAAAATGTAATTAAATTTATAAATGTGTGAATATGATATGCACAGAGATTAAATGGTATGTGAACATAAAATTACTCACAAAACACTCGCTTGTCCCTCAAATCCGCAAACAAGGTTTGCACAACCTAAAGAATGAAAAGAAATGGGTAAATTACAAATACATCTCCTCAAATTTATTAAAATATAATGTTCTGTTTGGTTTGATTTTTCAAAAACTGTTTTAAAATGAATTTTTGTTTATGTTTAGTGAATATTTTTTTTCCATGTTTTAGTCAATTTTTAGTATTTTTTAGTTGCACCTAATCTAAATGCATCTAAAAATTAAATTAAATTGATTAAAATATTAAAAAAATTTACTAAAAATAAATAAAAATTGGAATAAAAATCTGTGTTATTTTTGTTCAAATTTTTGTTTGTTTGTTTGTTTTTGTTTTTGTTTTTGTTTTTTTTTATATTTTAGTTAATTTATTTTACTTTTTAGATGAATCTAGTTTTGATATATCTATAAAGTAAATTTTTTTATTAAGATATGAAAAAATTCAATAAAAAAGACAAAAATCCAATTAAAAATAATTTTTGAAAATTTAAACCAAATAATGGCTAAACTTTCTCCTCACATTTGAGAAATTTCATCATACCAATACCTCAAATTGAGGGATGTAATTTCTCAAATGTGAGATTCAAAACACTTTTTATTAGTTTCATAATAATTTTTATTAATTTTGAAATATTATTTAATTTTTTCATCTTTTTCAAAATATTATCTTTTAGTAATTTCACGTTAACAATAGAGGAAATATCATTTTACCCCTTAAATTTTCATGCGTTTTTCAATTTGATTCAAGACTTTGATTAATATCAATTTTATACTCAAATTTTTAAAATTTTATCAATTTAGCCCATTTCATCTATAATTGGACAGAATATGCTGACGTGATACCAAAATTCATTTAGAATTTTATTTTACCCCCTAAATTATACCTTAAAAATCAACTTGTCCCTCAAATATTAAAAAAAAAAAAATTAATTTAATATTTGGGGGGTAAATTGATTTTTAAGGTATAGTTTGGGAGTAAAATAAAATTTCAATTGAATTTTGGTGTCATATCAATACAATCTATTTAATTGTAGACGAAATATGACGGCAATGACCAATTTAATTGTTAAATTGATATTAATTAAAATCTGATATCAAATTAAAAAATTTATGATAATTGGAGGTGTAAAATGATATTTTGGGGATATTTTTCAGCATTTGCCAACTAATTGTCATTGTCAGTGGTATGCTTGCTTGTCGGCAGCCAACAATACTCACGTTGTTGACTTTCCAAAATAATAGAAGGAGATGAAATGGCATCACGATTCCATAGCTAAACTGGTGAGTTATTGATAATCCCCATGGTTGGGGGTTCAGTTTCATGAGAGAGAGATGACTGAAACATCAGTGGATTTGCTCATGGAGAATTTGAAGGAGCTAATGAAGAGCAAGATTGATTTGATTCTTGATGAGAAGGATCAAATTGAATCTCTTTACCAAGAGTTTGGGTTCCTGAGAAGCTTCCTCAAGGACTGGGAGGACAAACTCTATGAGGCTAAGCAGTCGCGTAGTCAGGAATTTGATGGAGAGAGGGCACAAATTAATGATAACATTAGTGTGTTTAATTTGAGTTTTTTGGATTAAGTTTTTTGATAATTGAGTTTTTTGGTTTTCGTGTTTTTTTGTTTTTACTGAATATTTTTAAAATTTTAAATATTTTTTTTTTACTTTTTTAGATGTACTTTACTTAGATGTATTTAAAAAGTAAAAAATTTGTGAAAAAATATTTAAAAAAATTAATAAATACATAAAAATACAAATAATGTACAAAATTTTCATATATTTTTTTGTATTTTTGGTATTTAGTGAATTTTTAAAAGGTTTTTTTCAGAAATTTGTTACTTTTTAGGAATATTTATGTTAGATATATCTAAAAATTAAAAAAATTGTTTAAAATATTAAAAAAATTTAGTAAAAATAAAAAAAAAAATCGAAAAACAAGAAAATAGAATTTTCTGAAAAGTATTTTTGAAAAACTCTAACCAAGCAATTTTTTTTATTTTTTATTTTTATAATAAACAACAATGAGATATTACTAAACTTAAATATTAAGAGTCCATTTGGATAAATGTGAATTTTAAATTATAGGATTTGAGATTAAATTTTATATAAATATTGGCGAGTAACTATTTATAGGTAGATTGGAAAATTAAAAAAGAAGATAAGTTGAGATAGAAATAATATATTTTAGTAGAGAAATTCTATAAAACACACCATAAAAAAAAGTGTCTATCATATGTCGTAATTATGATCTTCGTGGTCTTTAGTTATAGCACATTATAGTGTTAGATATAATTTAGTTATAACTTCTTATGGTTGTTATTTTGGCTATTACTATATATCAAGTAATAGTTAGCTATGACTCGTTTTGATATTAGTTATGACATATTGTAATTTTTTATTTTTATTTTTTTTATAATTGAAGATGTGTTACTTGATTATAATTTATATAGTGGTCATTTTAGTTATGAATGGAAAAAAACATATGGAGGACAAACTCTACATGTCAAATGTACGTAACAATCCAATAAATTTCATATATCTTCATTGAGGTTAATTATGTTTACATGTCAATAATTATAGACATCACCATTATATTGAAATTTTTATAAATAATAATATAACTTATCATAGTCTCTTTATTTTCAATTAAAATAACCATTATTGTTCTCATAATTTTAAAAATGTCATTGACATTTCACTTTAAATAATATTTTTATAAATTTTTTTATTTAAAATATTTTCTTTATGTTTGAAAAAAAAAATTCCAAAAACCCAGGGGGGCACGTGACCCCCCTAGCCCTTGAGTGCCTCCGTCCCTGGATACAATTAAAGAGCCCCATAGGCTCTCTAAACAAATATGTAGGTATATGTCTTAGATTTTTGTATATTTATATCTTGGATTTGGAATTTTATATATTTTATATATGTATATATGTATATAGCAATTTATATGTTCTTTCAATTCTGTTTGATGAATTACGGAATAACTTATTTTGTATTTTTTTTCTCCTCATTCTATAGGTTTTGTATGCTTGTATGGGCAAATTTATTATTATTTCAAATTTACATTAGTAAAATATCAGCAATTAGTATTTTTTGTTTTAAAAATTAATTTAGTTTGAATGATTAGCTAAAATAAAGAATGTGATTGGAGAACACAATAACTAAAGTAAATAGGTAAAATAAAGTATATACTTTTTCGTACTTTAGTTAGTGAAAAATAGAGAATATAGTTGGAGCCGATCTAGGTTAGGGACCCAGGGTATTGTCCCTTGTGCACGCTTATAGGCTCCTAGAAATTTCTCAAAAATTGAATTTGGATAGTCTGCCACGATGTCAACTATGTGAAGCCTTTTGTGGGAGATCATAAAGACTATCACATAGTTGACGTATGAGGGAGGTTACGAGAATTTTCTTGTGCTTCACTTTATGTACATTTTGGAATTAATACTGTCTAATCTCTCAATAATCGAGATTAAGATAGTGCAAAGTATCTTTATAATAGATCGATTACAAACTTAAATTTTTTTAAACTACTCGATATTATTGAGACATTATTTAATATAGTCTATACAGAGTTCCTTTCAAATAACCAATCTAAAATATATTAGATAGATTACATGTTATCATTCAACTACTTAACAAAATTACATGTACAATTTTTCAAAGTAATTTTAATTTTTCCAAAAAAAATAAAATAAAATTTGTTTTCAAAACTCAACGTTGAGTTTCTAGAACTTTTCTTTCTTTTTTTTTTTCCTGAAATTGATACGTTTATTTGTATTTTTATTGATACATTTTGTAGTGTCCCCAACATTAAATAATAATAATTAAAAAAAAAAAAAAAGAAAGAGAGAGAGAGAGAGGTATCTTTTTCAGCAGTTTTTGTACCAACAATTTTATCCTAAAAAAACAGCAAAAAAGTCCATAAAAAAAGAATTGCAACCCAACCTAAGATTAGTATGTACAACAACAAAACAATTGGAAACACCAATTGAAAGAAAACTCTCTTTTTGTGGTACAAGGGAAATTGAACAAAACAACCAAAACAAGCAAACAGAAACTGGGGTTTGATGTACATGACCTCGACAAGATCAACATTTAACAGAGCACGTAACACATGAATCAGTGTGCAATTGAGTCGATTAAGGAGCAATCTACAAATCTTTAATGATGCCTATGACGGGATTGGTGTTGCTTCCATGTTCCATAATTAGAATTTAGAGCCACACCTACCCAAGAGTGAGTTTCCATGTTCACATTTTGAAGGTTCTTGTGCCTTACAATAGTGAGATCCCTCAAAATTTCCCAGAGCTCTGCTTCAATGCTGGTGCCAAAAATTTCAATATGTTTCCCAGAAATCTAAACTTCCAAGCAGCTTGTTCATCACCAATTAAGCCACCAATTCCAGTTGCTTGGGATTGCCTTTAGCACTTCATCCACATTCATCATTAGCTCACCTGCAGGAGGAAAATTTCATTTGATTAGTTTAGAAGAAACATAAGCATCAGGAATATAATGTCCTCATGAAAAAGGCTTCTTGCATATTTTTGGCATAGTGGATGATCCATTTACAGCAAAAAAAAAATAAAAAATGGTCCACTTCCGAGTTATTATAGAAATGGTATCGTACCTCTTTCTTTCTAGTGATGCCAATTAATGGAAGTGGAGAAAGTGGACCAGTCTGCAAGTGCTACTAGGGCTTTTAATATTGTCTTTTATCCATTGCCCAATCCCTTCGTCTCTGTCCCTCTCTTAGTCTTGAGGATTAACAAAGTGCACCAAAATATTCCTACTCTCAGGGAAATTTCTAAGGATATGAAAGATGCCTTCCACGGTGTGGTGGTACTGTGCATTCAGCATTATCAGTAATGTTTTTCTGGCGCATCTCAAGCGATTGGTTGAGATTCTATCCTGGGAAGCTAGCCAGATGAAAACGTTTAAGCTTTTGGGTAATGTTTCCCTTCTAGATCTAGCCGAATTTCCTATATCTTCAGTACCATCATTAAGTTTCCGAATATGACCAGATAAAATATGTGAAATTTCTCCAGGTTCCAACCTCCATCTTTAGTTAGATATTCACCAACTTTTTCATTCAGGTTACAATGGGGACCAGGGACAATATCTATTAAAGGGCAATTGCCAAACCACCAATCGCACCAAAGGAGATGCAACACCCATCGCCTATCATCCATTTGTAACCATTATCCAAAATCTATTTGGTTTTTGTTACGCTCTTCCAAAAGTGAGAAGCTTTCTTGCACTTAGGCCAATTACAATTATTAGCTCTCTTAAGATATTTAGCTTTGAGAACGCTAACCCAAGGTCTATTGGTATTTCTGAGGACATTCCAACCAAGCTTACTGTGAAAAGCCAATTTTTCTTTTTTTTTTCTTTTTTCTTTCTTTTTGTTTGTTTTGTTTTGTTTTGTTTTTGTTTGTTTGTTTGTGTGTTTGTTATTTTTTTTATTTTTTATTTTTTTTACCACCTTTACTCTTGCATCTACAACAAACCCTATCCCACTTGACTAAGTGCACTTTTTTATTTTCCTTAGTATCTCCCAACATAAAACTTCTATTGATTCTATAGGTAAAACATTAGTTTGCATGCAATAATTGGGAATAATGGTTGTGACAATTTAATCGTTGTAGTCTTCCCATCTAGGGACATGAGCTTAATTTTACAACCAGTGAGCTTACTTTGAATTTTCTAAATGATGTAGCTTAAAATTGCTTTGTTCACTCTGTAGTGAGACGCAAACCCTAAGGTATTTGACAAGGGGAATGTTACTCTTAGTGCTAAGGCATCTAACTCTACTGTTATGGACATTAGGGGAGACATGCAAACTAAATTTAAGTCCAGCCAGTTAGCAAAAATCATTCAAGGAAATGGAAACATAGCAATTAAAATGAACCACCACATCATAACAAGAACACAGTTTGAGAGTTTCAGACCATGGACCGACAATGACCTTAGATAGCTCCACAGAACATCCTCCAAAGCACCAAGGAAAAACACTGAAAATCAGATAAAGCACCTAAACCAAAACCCAAACTTTCTCATTAATCAAACATGAAAACCTGTCCATGCACAAGACAAAGAGAGATGGGGATAGGGGGTTCCCCTGCCTTAAACCTCTACTATGTTCAAAGCAGGAAGTGGTTTGGCCAATTCAAAGAGGAGAATATTGCAGTCCTCTCACCCAGTTCATGATAAGAATGAACCCAATATTAAGAAAAATCAAGGTCCAAAAGGTTTTTTTTTAATGAAATTCCTGTTTAGCCTATCATGGGCTTTCTCAAGATCAATACTTGAAAGAAATTCAATGGCGCTTGAACTAGCTTCCTAAGAAACACTCAAAACAATCTCTAAATCTATTGAGTTGAGATATCATCTGCCCCGTACACCACATAAATAAGCATTGATTGCTTCAGGTGAGAAAAAAGACATCTTACCATGTATGTTTAGTTCCATTCGTAGCATAAAAGTCACTAAAGATAAGAGTAATGTTGCACATAAATAATTCTCTTTACGATATTTTTACTATTAGACAAAAAGGTACTAGAATTCGCATTAATAAATATAGGTGTAAGCTGTCATTTTTGTGTCTAGTGATAAATTCAAAAAAAAAAAAAAAAAAAGAACATAAAATAAAATTACAAGACCCAAAAATATGAATATTAAACTGGTCAAGTTAGTGTCAAACTTGCACAATACAAAATTGGTACAGATAATCCGTTTAAGGACTAGTTATACACTCTAATGTTATTTCCACTAAGAGGTGCTATGACTTTTTAAAATCGCTTATGTAAAAAGTATATAAAATAAGATTTTAAGACTAATATAGTTTTTATTTATTTATTTAATTGAAGATAATGTACTTTTTGTCTACTAATTTAAAGCTAATCTAGCAAAAAAATAAAATAATAAGATTTTTTTTTTTCTAAATGAGAGAAATGGAATTGTGTTGAAATCATATATTTTTATGAATAATTTCATTCATGCGAGTGTCACTTTGTTCCAACATTAAGCTTTTTTCAAGCAATAATACTTCACTTCATCAATTAGATCCATTAAATTGTCTTGAACCCTTATGCTACATCATTATCATCCAAGTTTTTCTGCTACATCATTATCATCCAAGTTTTTCTGCCCAATTTGCTGTACGAGTTCTATAAGTTTGTGTTTGGATCAACAATTTGAGTAGGGATTTATGGAGAGAAAAGAAAAATAAAGGATAAAGTGAAAAAATAAAATGGTGAAAACAAACATATAGTTCTATCTGATGCACGTTTCACTTCCCTTTTTCTTTTTTTTCCCTTCTTTCACAAATGACTCCTGAAATTCTTGATCCAAATAGAGCCTAAACAATCTATAATATCTCTGAATAGGTGAACTATCAACTCAAGTAAGTGGTTATAACTCGGTGATAGTTTGTTTGTCTGTTTGTCCATATGAACTCACAGTAGTTTTGGCAACTCACCCTATTGTGTTTCTAAAGTATTGCCTTTGCTTGTGTTGTGAAATGCCTTGCAATGCAACAATTGCAAAGTATACAAGATTAAGAATTACTAACATTTATTTATGGGAGAATAACACATCAGTGGAATCAGCAAAAATTATTTACAAAAAATTTAAAATTTTTGTAATTTTAATTATTAATATCTATAATGTTTTTTTTTTTTTTTCACTTTTTTGTAAATATTTTTCACTGACACAATGTCAGTGTAATTCCCCCTTTATTTATTTGTCCACACTCTATCCATTCTGATGACTTTGGCTTAATAGAATTAGAAATTTTTGGCTGATTCATTTGCTTAGGCTTTTTCTTAAAATACCAGAATGTGTTTGGATCATGAATTTAGGTAAAAACTTGAAAAGGGAAATTGTGGGTAAAATGTAATTATATTTCATTTACATTTCACCCATCTTTTCCATGATCCAAACACACCCCTGGAGTTTCATGTAAACTATGAATATCAAATGTTGTTAGGTCCCTGGTTTTGTTAATTCTGCGAACAAACGTTATTTGAATAACATTGTTATGTCTTTGTGAACCTATCAATTTGCATGGACCGCTCAAGCGGCGATTTGTGCACTTGAGCGCTAAAATGAGGCATCCAGTATCTCAGTCCTTGTTCTTAGATACTGGAAGGCTTCTTTTACCGTTCGAGTGTGCACTCTTGCGCTCGAGCGAGTTGACTGCTCAAGTGGTATTTTCTGTGCTCGAGTGGTCTTCGCGACCCTGTTTGTTTTAAGTTACCTCAGACGCATAATTTAGGGTTCATCTCTTCCATATCAGCGACTAGACACCTGAGAACTATTGGGTATTCATTTGAAGAGCTTTTGTGATCTTTTCGTTGATGATTTTGTGAGCTAGTTGCCTCACATGGATTGAATAGCATATATCAAGGGGCTTGTTATGACTCTACCTACATAGAGCGTTCATCGGTGGATTCAAAGGCTTTGAAGGTGTTCGAAGCGACTCATCGTCGTGGACTCAACATGGGTGTTATGGATTCAACACCGGACTAATCAATCCCAAGACAAAGATGTTGATGAAAGGGGCACACAGTCAATTCTTAAGTGAGTGTTGGGTAATTACTTGTACTCTTGTGTAATTTCATTATCTTTATAGTAGATTGTTTTGTGGCTTTAAGCCGTGATTTTTTATCACAATTGGAGCCAATTGTGGTTTTTCTACGTTAAAATCCTCTGTGTCTTATTTGTTGATTGCTTAGAGATAATCTAAATCACTATAGGTTAGATGATTTAGATTATTGTCTAATTTGGGGATTGGTTGTGATTGATGTTTATTAGCTCATAAATCATAAATCACAAATCACATAACTTAGGGTTTTTCAGTCCTATTACCTACTTAATGATCATTCTTCTAGATTAGGTACTTATAAAGAAGAAAAAAAAGATTAATAATAACACGGGGAAAAAAAGGAGGAAAAAAAAAGATATCGACAAACAGAAAATTAATTTATGTAAATAAAAATCATTATTTGATCAAGTTAATGCACTTACTTCAACTAAAGCACATTATTGTTGGACTCAGTCATCTGCAGCCAATTGTTTCCAATACTTTCTTGTTCTTCCTTAATTTCCTTGGCAGAATTGGCAAGAGAAGGGTGGCACCAATGCACCTCAATCATCTGGAGTGTGGGTATATCCCCCATTTCAGATGGGACCTTCTTGAGCCCATTACATTGAATCAACACTAACCGCTGAAGCACGGGAAAGTGATTACTGGAAACTTCCAACTGATCAACTTGTACATGCTCTAATTTTAAGAATTTGAGTCGAGGGAACTCCCCATCACTTGTTTCCCAACGTTTACCAATACAAGCTTTATATAATAATTTGAGACCCTCAAGGTTGGGTAGTGACTTGGCAAGTGTCGACATCTCATCCCAATTTAGATAGGTATTCTTCAAAGTTAGCTTTGTTAGAT